CTGTCAGGTCCACCTACACACGCACTGTGTATTCAGCACCACTTCAGAGAGCGGCTCTGAAATCTCCAACTACTTCCTGACATCTCCCACCTCGCAGAGGACTGCCGGCTGCCGCAGCTGAAGAATACTAAGCAGCGCGCCTCGGTTTCCATTGCTTGGGAGCAAGATGTCCTGCGGTAACTAGGGTTGGCAACTTTCTATTTGCAGAAAACTGAACACCCTTGCCCCGCCCCTTCCCAAGGCCCCGCCCCTTCTCCGAGGCCCCTCCCCCTACTCACTCCATCCCCCCTCCCTCTGTTGCTTGCTGTGCCCCACCCTCGTTCACTTGCGCATTTTCACTGGGCAGGGGGTTGGGATGCGGGAGGAGGTTCAGGGTGCGGGCTCTGGGCAGCCGAGCTGAGGCTGGGGATTATGGTGCAGGAGGAGGTGAAGGCTCTGGGCTGGGGGTGCGGGCTCCAGAGTGGGGCCAGAAATGAGGAGTTCAGGGTGCAGGAGGCGGCTCTGGGCTGGGGCAGGGGGTTGGGGTCCAGCTGGGGGTGCGGGCTCCAGGGTGGGGCCAGAAATTAGAGGTTTGGAGTGTAGGAGGGGGCTATGGGAAGGGGCAAAGGGTTGGGTGTGGGCTCCAGGAGGGAGTTTGGGTGCAGGAGGGATCTCAGGACTGGGGCAGGGAGGAGCGTGGGCTCCAGGCGGTGCTTACTTCAGGCACCTCCCGGGAAGCAGCGACATGTCCCTGTAGCTTCTAGGCGCAGGGATGACCAGGGAGGCTCTGTGCGCTGACCCCGAGCGCCGGTTCCACAGCTCCCACTGGCTGGGAACCGTAGCCAATGGGAGCTGCGGGGGTGGAGCTGGGGGGAGGGTGTGGAGTCCCAAGCGCCGGCTCTGCAGTTCCCATTGGCCCGGAACCACAGCCAATGGGAGCTGCGGGGGTGGAGCTGGGGGGAGGGTGTGGAGTCCCAAGCGCTGGCTTTGCAGCTCCCATTGGCCTGAAACCACGGCCAATGGGAGCTGCGGGGGATGGAGCCAGGGGCAGGGCGCAGTGACTCCCTGGCCACCCCTGTCCTAGAAGCCACAGGGACATGTTGCTGCTTCCCAGAAGGCGCCTGAGGTGAGTGCTGCTCGGAGCCCAATCCCCGAACCCCCACTCCCATGCCCCAGCCTGCCTGGGGCCGACCAGACTGGTAATGGCCCTGTCAGCAGGGCTGACCGGAGCCACCAGGGTCCCTTTTCAACTGGGCGTTCTGGTCGAAAACCGGACGCCTGGCAACCCTAACCCAGGCAGCCTCCTGAAGGATAACAGTCCTGTCTGTGTCCGGGGTAGGGGGATTCATTTTCTTTTGCAGGTGGGTGTGAGGTGGCGGGGGATGAGGTAGAAGAATTAATAAGCGATGGCCTTTCTGGGCTTCACCTGATCAAATAAGACAAAGAGGCCTGGTAAGCATACCCCTGCTGCAGGAGGAGCTAAGAACAGGGGGCACATTTGGGCCACTGGGCGGCATCTTTTAACCCTGTAGTCAGCCCATAGACGCCCCAGGACCAGTGCTTTAGGAACACTGCCCGGCCAGACACCAACGGTGGCGGTGCATGATATAAAAATACAACAGTCCAAGTACAGAACCCCATCTGTTGATTCAGTCCCCCCAAACTGCCTGGAGGACTAATGTCCTCTGGTCATTCCCGGAGACAAGCGCCGCTTGGGGAGTGCCAGGATGTGTTCATCCACGCCGCCCTATCCACGTGCCTCCAACCTGAGCTGGAGGCAGTAGCCCTAAGGGGGAGGAAGGATGGTCCAGTGGTTAGGGCACTAGTCTGAACCGCAGATTTAATTCCCTGTATGACTCTGGGCAAGTCACTTCGTCGCTCTGTGCCTCAGTTTCCCATCTGTACAATGGGGATAATAGCCCCTGACCTGCCACACAGGGACACTGTGAGCATAAATACATCACAGGCGGTCAGGTGCTCAGATACTGCAGTAATGGAGAACCATATAAGATACATGCCTCTGTCTCCCAGGAGTCGAGACTGCAAATTAGTCCCCATTCGGGGATGTTTTTGTGCTATGCACTCTTGGGAAACTGAACTGATGCGGCCAGCTAATGACACACAAGCCACTTAATGAACAACCAGTTTGGCCACTCCTGAGTTGGATGCAATCTGAACTAGCAACTTCGCCTGCGTGCTGAGTAGGGCTAGTCAACCTTTCTCATCAAACCAATTTTCCAACAGTATTTGTAGAAAATGTACAGTTGGGTTGACATTTTGTTTTTGAAATGAAAAACAGGGACCTGGAACATTTTTTAGTAGAAATATTTGTCTTTTTGGGGGGGAAAAATGGTCTGGGGGTTTTGAAAACGGATTATTTTTACTGATCATGGTTTTCGAAAACCAAACATTTTTGGTTTCATTTTTAATGAGGGATAATGAAACGTTTTCAGGGATTTTATTTCTGAAAAACAATTTGGTTTTTTGCAAGTTCCCGTGAAAAATAATTGGTGGGTTTTGACCTGCTCTAGTATCGAGCGGGCCCATCTCACAGTCTTGGACTTGAAGACCCAGAAGTTGAAATAGGATTGGCCCTCCTCAACGCAGCCCTAAATGGTAGCAAAACATCACTATATTGAGAGTGCTGTTGGGTGGATAATGCGATGGTACTTTACTCAAAATCCACTGACAATCCTTAAAGCACCCACAATCCCACAGAAACTCAATATTTCCAATAAAAGGATGGAAAGAGAAAGAGTTAACACTGAGAGCTAAATTGTAGTCATTAGGCTTCAGAGTCAACACCCAACTGATATGAATGGGGATAGTTCATGTCTCTCAGAACTCAATCTCTATAGACTCAAGACAACGGCACGGCATCAAGTCACACACAGAAGCTCTTCCTTGCAACCATAAGGGATAGAAACGGGATCCCGTCTGCACTACAAGACACCTGACTGAAGATGCTTTCCCCCAGCTCAGCTACATCCAACACACTTTGTATCTGTAATGTGGATGGGATCGCACTGAGTTCCCGTAACTGGGCTAACGCTGGTGCTGGCTCTTAGTTCTCATCTAGAACAGTGAGTGCGCAACAGAACTTTCCCCGCCTGCGGTGCATTCGTAGGTTCTCTCCCCCGTGGACACACCAAGTAGGCGCAGTGGTTGAAGCTTTTCCCACCGTCAACACACTTATCGGGTCGCTCGCTCGAGCGGAGCCTCTGATGTGTAATAAGGTTGGAGCTGTGACTGAAGCTTTTTTTTCCCCTGTGTTTTTTCCCCAAGTGGGTTGTCCGATTGCCGTCAGGGGCTACGCTGGCATGGATACTTCTCCCGCACTCGGGAGATCTCTCTCCCTGTGTGCACTCTCTGATGTTTCAGAAGGCGCAATCGCCGTGAAAACTTTTCCCAGTGGGGGCAGCCATCGAGTGTCACTCCTGTGGGATGCTCTGATGTGCAGGCTCTGAGTTTGACGGAGGCTCTTCCTGCAGTTGGGGCATTGATGGAGGGTCTCTCCTATGGGGATGCTCTGAAGTTCTTTTGGAAGATTTCCCCACATCTATAGGATCTCTCTCCGCCGTGGGTTCCCTGAGGTATCACTGGGAGCCCCGTCCACATTCAGTGCTTCCGTCTCTCCGTTGTACTTCTCCTTAACTAAGGACTAAGAGCTCTTCAAGTTCCTTGAGACTTCCTTCTTCAGGAGTGGATTTCTCCTCGCTCTTCCTGGGTGGGTTTCCCTGCTGCTCCTCCAACCTGCCCTGATTTTTGCAGCTTTCTTCCTGGCAGATGTTCCCCTTGCACCTTCTCGAGACTGTCCTGTGTGGTTCTGCTGACTCAGGATGTCCTGGCTGGGGAGTTCACCGTCCGGTCACCTGCTGCGCTGGTGCCTCTCAGGATCTCCTTCCCCCCAGAGATCTGGGAGTCATGGCTCGTCCCCTCGCTCCATGCATGAGATCAGGTTGGGTTTAGGGATGGGGGATCCCAGTGAGGCCACAGTCACATAATTCTCCTGCATGACTTGCCTGTAAAGGGCTCAGGCCAAGTTCCAGCCATGCCCCGTGGAGAAATACAGCCACTTTGGGGCTGCTGCAGCCACGTCCCTTCCTCATCCTGTGGGAGGACAGGACGATCTGGAGTGAAACTTCGACACTATTGTGCAACTGGCTGGAGATTTTAGTGGATTCTTGTGTAACTTATGCTCCAAACCCCCGTGGCTGGGGGGATGGGAGGGGGAAGATGCTGCCTGGCTCCTAGTGCCCCCAGACTTGGGGGGAATCCTCTGCAGTCCTTGATCCAGAGGGGTGCTGTGGGGCTCATTTTCCCCTCTCTCCCCCCACCCCCCCAGTGCAGCAGGCCCTGCTTTGGCTGCTTCTGATCCTATGGGCTGGAGACTCCCCTTCCCCAACTCCAAACCCTTAGCCTTTTGCCCCTGTCCCCTCTTATCTGCCTCCTCTTCCTCCCTGTCCCGCCCCGCCCTTTGCTCTGCCTCTCCCTCTCCCTCCCCCTTTCCCTTCCTTCCCCTCCCCCTGCACCCCCATCTCCCCCTTGCATGCCTTTCCCTTCCTTCCCCTCCCCCCGCACCCCATCTCCCTTCCTTTCCCTCCCCCTGCACCCCCATCACCCCCTTGCACCCCATCTCCCTTCCTTTCCCTCCCCTTGCACCATCTCCCCCTCCCCCTTTCCCTTCCTTCCCTCCCCCTTGCACCCCATCTCCCCCCTTGCACCCCCTTTCCGTTCCTTCCCCTCCCCCTGCACCCCATCTCCCTCCCCCTTGCACCCCATCTGAGCTTTCCCCAAGAATGGGGGTGTTTGAATTTACAGGGGGCTGGTTGATCCGTGTGGGGGTGGATGGGGGAGTTGAACGGGGGTGTGGTGGTAAATCCTTGTCACCCTCATCTCCCTTCCCCCGCCCCCACCTGAGCCCCTCCCCCGGGCGGGTTTCCAGTCAGGCGCGGCGCGGGCAGCCCTCTCCTGGCAGCGGCCTCCCCGGGGTCCTGGGCCGGCCGGGCCCGGCTCCCCAAGATGGCGGCGCTGGCGGGGCCGCGGCCCGGGTTGTCCGTGTGAGGCGGGGACGGAGCCGCCCGGCGCCCCGCGGAGCCGGCGCGATGCTGCGACCCAGCGGCTACTTCCGCGGCATCGACTGCCCCTTCCTCGGCGCCGGCGGCCGGGGCCCGCCCTGCAGGAGGCCGCACTGCCACTTCCGCCACCCGCCGGCCGCAGCCCCGGAGCCCGGGGCCAAGCTCGGCGCAGGTACCGCCCCGCCGGCTCCCCGGGACCCCCCCCCCCGCGCCCGGGATCCCGCCGCGCCCGGCCCGGAGCCGCGCCCGGCCTCGCCCCCCGAACCAGGGCGCGGGGCCTTGTGTCCCCCGAAACGGAGCGACAGGCGCCCCCCCCCGATATATACTGACTGGTGCCTTCCTCCCACCCCGAAATATACTGACTGGTGCCCCCCCCGATATATACTGACCGGTGCCTTCCTCCCACCCCGAAATATACTGACTGGTGCCTCCCCCACGATATATACTGACCGGTCCTTGCCCCCTGCCCCCCGATATATAGTGACCGGTGCCTTCTCCCTCCTCCACCTTAATATACTGACTGGTCCTTGCCCCTCCCCCCCGATATATACTGACCGGTGCCTTCCTCCCCCCACCCCCGATATATACTGACTGGTGCCGCCTTCTCTCTCCCCCCCCCCC